ACTTTCTCATTTTCTGTTTTTCCTTCCTGCCTTTTACTGTCTTAATCTGTCTCTATTCATCTCTCATCTCAGTTTCTGTCTCCTCTCTATTTTCACCTTCCCTCTGCCTCTCTTACTTGCTGTGCCTGTCTTTGTTTCTGTCGGTCTCTATTTCATTTTCCACGTCCCTCTCTCTTACATGTGGTCTTTTTCAGTCCCCTCAAAGTCAAGTCCTTCTACCCCTGGGCTGGGCCACACTTTCTGCCACCCTTCCCCCCAACCTGGTCCTTTCCTGTCCCTCTGAGCAAGCCCCTCTCTGACCTGCGGCCTCTGCACCCCTCCCTCCTCCCATCCCCAGGTTTGGCATGTGGGGAATGAGCCTGGAGGGCTCTCGGGGGCTTGGAGGAAGGGCAGGGACCCACCCCCAGGATTCTGCCCTAAAGACCTCCACCCTGTGGGTGCTTGAGAAGCACTTAGCACAGTGCCTGGCATAGCATCAGTCTCAGTAAAGTCTCCTGATGTTGTGACTATTAATTTTAAAAGCCCCCTGAGGGTATGGTGTGTAGCTAAGCTGGAGGGAAGGCACCCAGCCCAAGAGTGCAGCAAGGAGGCGAGAACAGGTGCCTCCTCTGTCCTATGTCAGGCAGGGGCTGAGGGGAGAAGCCTGCAGGAAAGCAGGACCTGGAGAAGTGAACTGGGCTGGGCTCTGTGGCAGCTAAGAGGCCAAAGAAAACAGGGGCCAAAGAAACCCCGCTATTGTTCCCACTCTGCTCTGGCATTTCCTGCTGTGGCAACTCCTCCCCCAAGTCTCTCCTCTTACAGGCAGGTCTGTCCTTTCTTCCATGGGTCTCAAGGCTCTGCCCCCAGCCCAGCATGCCAGCTGTATACAGGATTTTTTTCTGGGCCTGGGGCTCAGACTGGACAATGACCCTGATGACCCCAGAGGCCCTTGGGGTCCAGACTCCTTCCCTGCTGAACTTGCCTCCAGTCTGTCCCCTTCTACCTTCTTTCTCATCCTCTGTCCCCAGGCACTGTCTTCATGAACCCACAGGTCTCAAACTCCAGCGTCTTGAAGTAGAAGGACACAGAAATGCTCATAGGAGGCTGGGCCACCAAGGGAAGCTCCTACCTGAGGATTTGAGCTTAGTGCTTTGCAGCTTACCACAGACTATGAAGGCCAAGACCTCATTCTTGCCATTTTATAGATTCAGAATATCATCTATAAAATTATAGATTATAATTAGCCCATTGTATGATTTTAATTCTAACCTACCTGTGGGGAGACCCAGACTCAGAGGTTATTTGCCCAAAGTAGCACAGTGACCTGAGATGGGAACCACAGGTTGCCACACAGATTGGTCACCTAGTGTGGAACTGGTAAGGCCAAAGAAGGAGACTTGATCTGTCAAGGTTACTCACAAGGGGCAGCTGATTCTGTTTCCTAGGCCTGTGCCTGAGCCCTTCTGTCTCTCTAACCATCAGGGTTACTCTCTCCCCAGGTTGTCACAAGAAACTACTGGAGGTATTCCGTCCTGGAATTGTCTTTGCCTTGAGCACTCAGGCCCTGCCCTGCCAGCTCCAGGGGAATGCTTCCCTGGGACCTTTCCAGGCTGGCATATGGGTCTCCCCATTTGTGGCAGGGGGAATTAGAATCTCTCAGGGAGAGCCCCATCCTCTCTTTCCCTGATATAGGGACCTCTGGATTCCTGGGAAGAAGCTGGGGGCTGGAGGTAGAGTGGTAGGGAGCTCAATCTATCTTCTGGTACCTTGGACTATAATGACCATTTCCAAGTTGTGGAAGAAACAGCACGTGTTGGCAAATGAGCATTTATTGAGTGCTTACTATATGCAGAGCACTGTGCTAGACAAGACAGATGAGGGAAGGTAAATGGGAGAATGTCATTCAAGAACTGGAAGGAGCCCTGCCCCCACAGGGCTTACAATCTAGCTAGGAGACATTGTATATATATACACAAAATCACAACTTAAAGATACAAAACGACATCGAAGCAACATTTGTAGGTACGAAGTCGTTTGGCGCAAAGTGGGAATGTGGGAATGGCTGCTTCTGAGACCCAGTGGTCAGCCACCTCCTCTTCTCAGCTCAGAGCCTTCTCTGTCCCCAGCTTGGGGACCTAGAGCTCTGTCCACCTGCCTCCATGCTGCCCTGCCTCTGTCTGGTTTGGGGTGTGTCTGACCTTCACCCTCCTCCAGACTAGGTGCTCTTCAGGAGCAGAAACCAGCTCCACGTTCCATGTCATGTCTTCCCTACCCTGCCACTGCACTCTCCAAGGCCCTGTATTCCCCACAAGACAGTGGGCTAGGCTGGACAGGCCCAGTGTGTCTTCTCGTTTCTGCCAGGGGCTCCCAGGAGGAGTCTAGGACTTGACTCAGTGGAAAGATCATGGGATTTTGCATAAGAAGACCTGAGTTCACGTCTTGGCTCCTATATATTAATACAATCTGTGTGACTTTAGACTTGTTTCTTAGCCTCGATTTCTGAATGTGTAAAATGGGAAGAACAGCCTTTGCTCTGCCTATCCCACAGGGTTGGGAGATAATCATAGAGGATGATAAGGGAGAGATTTGGAAATAGTAAAACCCTTCATGGTTGCTAGCCTTTGTCCTTCCCTACCCTGTCTGAAATTTTAGGAGGATCAGCTGGGCTAATGCATGTAAGGCACCCAGCATGGCAGCTGGTACACAAGAGATGCTCCTTCCAACCCATCACTTGGAATCCTGCTTTGACCTCTGACCCCAATTTGGGCAATAGGGGCTGGAAGTGGTGGGGATCTCACATTTAGTTTTTGGGGAGATGCAATCCAGGAAGTGGAATAGACCTAGAGAGAAATTCTTGGCACCTTCTAGAGGGGTTTGTTGCGGTGAGACAGGGTAGGGATGAGGGGCCTGAGACACATCCAGGCTGGGCTCCCAGCTTAGTGCCTTTCTGCCTTTTAACTTCTAGACCAAGGACACTCAGCTACCAGGAGAACAGCCCCAGAGATCACTGTGGTTTCTGGCTCTAGCTCTCCCCCAGCAGTGAGGCCAGGTGGCTGTCACTAGCTGTCGGGGGTTTGAGAGAGTGCTCTCCATAGCACCTATGGCCCACAGAAGCCTTTTTCTCACTCTGAAGGAAGACAGACCCGAGCCTAGATGAGAGAAGGCACAATTACAGAGATATTCCTATGCACAGTCCATTTCTGACGGGGGTAGAAGGGAGGAAGGGGCTAGACACAGTGCTCGGTGCACAGGGGAAGGGGGTACAATGTGGGATAGACACAGACAGAAGCCTTGAAAGCACAGGGGCCACGGAGAACATGGAGAGGGGAGCTCTAGGTGTGACCCTTAGGTTAGTTATGCAGCAGCCTGGAGGGGGAGGGAGAGAATGGACGGGGCTGGGCAGTGGGAGGAAGGAAGGGGGAGAACAGCCAGGGTGCACTCTGGGTAAGGAGAGGTTAAGAGGCTGGGCCAGGATGGGGCCAACCCCAAACCCATCTCCTTCCGCCTGGACCTTGGCGTTCCCAGGACTCTCCTTTGCTTTGACCACCGACTAAAGGAGATAAAGGAGGCAGAGGGTCAGGCCTCTTCTGCATTCTTTCCCCAGGAAGCAGAAATAATGAAATGATCCTAGTAATGCGTGATAATGGTATTAAGAATTACAGTTCACACAGCCTCTTTACATGTATCATCTCACTTAATCCCAGTTAATCTCATTTGAGAACCTTTGCACTGGCCTAGAAATTTAGAAGCCTGGATTCTAGACTCAGGCTTGGCTCTGCCTGGACAAGTCATTTCCCTTCTCTGGTGCTGAGCAGCAGGCTGCTCTGTCCACAGTAACTGTCCAGGGCTGGGAGCCAGAAAGGGGTGAGCATGGGATGAGGGGAGGAAGGCTGGGAAGGAACAGGGGTTCCTGGGTAGGAGGAGCTGCTGCCTGGGGGCAGGGTTGGGGGTGCCGAGAGTCGGAACCTGCAATGGAGGGGCGTTGCCTGGTGCTGGTGGTTGCATGCCTAAGCGCCTTGCCCAGCCAGCCATAGGTGTGTGCTGGGTGAGAGGCTCACTTGCGAAACTGAGTGTCTCCTTTCAAGAAGTGTCTAGTTGCAAATCTCCCCCTCTCCCAAGACAAAGGCTAGGGGCCCACAAAGGGCTTTTGTTTTCTCTGCTGAAGTGGGAGGCTAATCTCTGGGTTAGGGCCCCCCAGGAGATGAGGATCCTCTGCACACACAGCATACACACACACACACATGTATGTGCACACACATATGCCTGCTTCCCCCTTTGGAGAGGTCCTTCCTCAGGGCAAAAAGGAAATCCTTAACCACCCAGCCCTCTTTTTTCCAGAGGCCATTTCTAGGGGAGCTGCTCTCTGGTTGACACCTCTCTGCTTTCAGCAATGGGTCCAGGCAAGTCTTGGGACCCAGTGCTGCAGCTGGGGAGGGGACAGGAAGGGAAAGGTAAGGGTTGGAAGTCAGGACTCTCCCTTTGCCCCTCTCAAAGTGGCCTTCAGATCCTCTCCTCCCCTTCTGCTGGTGATGATTGGCATCTAGGGCTCACCCACTTACAGAGGAAGTGGATTTATTGCAGATTGGGGAGGAAGGGATCCTAGGGGGAGTGAGAAGTCTCCAGCTGTGCACACTTGCACCACCACAGGCACTCGGGGACACGCACGACCCTGCACTTGAGAGCAGAGAGGCACGGCGGTTGCACACACACTTGCACACTAGCAAAATTGGATGCACCATTCCCAGACCCTCCGATGCCAGGGTCTGTACACTCCCCAGTCAGTACCTGGGTTCAGGCTCTTAAGAACTTTCCTCTTCCCGCCTACGTGTGAATCCTCCCTCTCCAGCTCGGCCCCCAGATCCCCAGTTCCCTGCAAGGGGCCAGGGGGTCACCCACGTGCGGCCCACAGCCTGGGGCAGGGGATCTGCCAGGCTCACCGCAACCGCACAGCCCCCTCCCCTCCCGCCCGCTACGGCGCAGCCCCCGGGTCCTGCACGTCTTGCAAGTAGCTGCTCTGCTCTGGGGGCCAGCTTCGGACCTGGGGGAGAGGAGAGACGGGGTGGGCCCGCTGTGGCCCCACGAGCGTCCGTCGGGGGCCGGGGCGTCGAGGCGGGCGGCGCGCTCAGGCCTTGCTGCCCCGCGGCAGGCTCTGCGGCGAGTGCAGCTCCACCGACTGCCGCCGCCGCACCTCCCGCTCCTCCCAGTCGGTGTCGGGCTCCAGGCCCTTCAGCACCGCCAGGCGCTCAGACAGGCTCTTGGCCGAGGGGAACAGCACGTAGTTGTAGAGCAGGGAGCCCAGGACGGCGCCAACCAGGGGTCCGATCCAGAAGACCTGGAGGCGAGCAGAGAGGGAGGCTCGCACCCACGCCATGCACAGCCTGGGGGCCGCACCCCTGGTCCCTGTGCCAGTCCTCACCTCACTTCGTGTGGGAAAGGGGTCTCATGCGCCATTAATATAGTAAAATGCTTACTCAGGTAATATAGTAAAATGCTTTCTCACGTAATATAGTAAAATGTTTACTCACGTAATTAGCAACGGCAGGAGCTGTTGGGGAAGACTGGTTAGCAAGGGCGTTAAAGGTGCAAATTCCCAAGCAATTGCTTAGGTGTGAATCCTGATTGCACCACTTACTTGCTGTATGAACTTTAAGAAGGTACTTACCCTCTCTGTGCCTTAGTTTCCTTTCATTATAATAATGCCTAACTCCTAGGGCTGTTGTGAAAACTACATGAGTTTATATTTGCAAAGCATTTAGAACTAAGTTCTAAGAACTCTTAGAACTATAAGCACTAGATAAATGCTAAATAATAACAATATGTAAGTGTTAGGTAGTATAAACATTACCATTTGCTGAGCTCTAAGTGCCAGGCACTGTGTTATCTGTTTTACATGGGTAACCCCACTTAATATTCCCAAGAAGCCAATGAGGTAAGAACCGTTGTTATCCTCATTTACAGATGTGCAAACTGAACCTCTGGCATCAGACCTGAGAGTGGAACCCAAGGCTCTCCAGGGCCCAGGAGAAGGAGTGTGGAGGGTTTGGGACTCCACACAATTGCTGAGGCCCCCACCCTACTCTATTCCAGCCCTTGTTCTCCCTCTGAAATGGGTTTCTAGGGAAGGGGAAGGCAGGGGGGTTTCAGCCATTACCCAGTGGTCATCAAACTTGCCAGTGACGACAGCTGGAGCCAGGGAGCGGGCAGGATTCATGGAGCAGCCAGTGTAGTGGATCTACAAAGGGAGGTGGGGGGCAAGAGGGAAAGGAGGTGAGGACAGGGCAGGGAGTCTTTGTCCCCTCTCCAATGCTGACCCTCAACCTGAAGGGAATTTATGCAAGGGACAGTTAACTTCGTGTTTTAGTTACTGGACTCTGCATTCATTCGGGGCTGGAGTGATATCCGTCCTTATGGGGCATCTGGGAGTCAAGTCCTCCAGGGTATCTGTCCCTCTGAGAGTCTTGTGTCTGTCACTTTTGGGGGTTCTATGTATCTGTCTCTAGAATGGTCTGTGTGTCTGTTTCTTTGGGGAAGGTCTATGTGTCTGTCCCTCTAGGGAGGCTGGAACCTGTGGCCATGACCTACCCCAAAGAGGTGGCCCAGGGCCACGGAGAAGCCGATAGAGAGGGCAGGGGTGCCCAGGTTGTCTCCACGGCGTTCGTCGGTGGAGGCAAAGATGCAGAGCACCAGCTGCAGGGTCAGGAAGAGCTCCACAGTCACCGCCTGGCCAGCTGTCGTGTTGTTGCTGAGCTGGGGACAGAGAGGAGGTAGGTGGGAGCACTGAGCACACACCCTGCTCTGGTTCTGTCTTCCTGCCCATCTGCAGTTGAGGCACCACAGAGGCCGCTGGGCTGGGAGTCGGAATACCTGGGCTTGCCAGACACCTTAGCTGGAACTACTGACACCTTCTTCCCGTGCCGTGGCCCAAAGGCAGGGAGGGGTTGGACTCCCCAGGGCCTCCCAGCCAGAGGTAGGAAAACTGACTCCATGGCCCATTAGATTTGGGGGCTGAGGTTGTGTGCCTGCAGCGTGAGAGGAAAAGGATGCTGAGATCCAGAAATTCTGTCTCCTGAAGAGCAAAAAGGGAAGAAGTTTAAGCTGTAGTAGGGAGCTTTGGGCCTGCTGACAGGAAGGCCTTCCCCTCTCTGGGCCCTGAGACACTGGAGTGATGCGAGGCCTGTGGCCTTTCTTCCTGTGGTCAAATGGCTTCTGGAGACAGGCTCTAGGGACTTGGGTCTGTGGGATGGTCCTAGTGTGCCCTCTCCTCCCACGAGTGTCTGTTCCCATTGTGTTTCAAGCCTCTGTTTTGTCCTGTGGATTTGCTTCCCGTACAGCCTGTGAAGATTGGGGTTGGGGCACAGGAGCTCTGTACTGCAACGCCTCCACACCCATGTGGGGTGGCCGTGGTCCCAGCAGACCCTGCCTTGAGTAAGGAGAGAACTTGGGGCTGAGCAAAGAGGCTATTTTATAACTGGGCCGCACCTAGCACTGGATTTGTCCCTGGGTTTTGTCATCCTGTACCCTACGCCCTGCCCTCTGGGGCTGGGCACTGCACCGGGTGGAGCTCTGACAGCTCTCAGCTCCCACGCTCCTCCAGGGTCTGAACTCCCACCCCTGGATCCTAGCCATCATGCTGGTACCCTTGGGTCTCTCTGGGGTCTAACCTTAATCCCTCCTGTTGTCTAATGTCAGAGCCTCTGGGGAACAGTGAAAAGAGCTTTGGAAGCAGACACTACGGAGGCCTCTGACTTGCTGTTGGACCCTGGCCTCAGTTTCTCCTTCTGTAAAATAGGGACGATAAAATGGATTCCAGAGGACTGTGCGAGGACTAGAAATGACTTACAGGTTCTGTGATTTGGGTCAATTTACCACTTGGGAGGGGGACCACAGAATTTACCCCACAGTGTTGGATCAAGGATGAGATGATGTCTGGCTTGACATGGCGCAGGGGCACATCAGTGGTTACTTCCCGGTGGCCAGGTTGGTTCTTAATGTCCACAGAAGACACCTGGGACAGACTTGATGCTCATCTGGCTCTCCCTAGCCACAGGGAGACTGCTGCCCCATTGCAGCCAGGCAGGGTTCTCCCCAGATCCTCAAGAAGGTAAATGCTGAGCAATAGCTTGGAGGAGCCTTCCCAGACCCTTCTGAGGGCCCCGGTTGGCTGTAACATGAGTAAGGAGGACAACTGAGTGGTCTCCATGGCTTCTTAGTGTTTCCAAAGCCCCATCATTAAAGAAGGACTTTCTTGGTCATGCTCTCAGGAAGTTCCTCTCTCAGTTTGCACCTCTTCTTGTGCAAACGGAACTCATTTCATTCTCAATAGAGACGGGCACATTCCTCAGTCTGTCCACCACTTTGGCCACTCTAGCCTTTTCTTGGCCCTGGGCCCCCAGCGTCATTATATTTTCCATTTGGAAGAACAGAGAAATTCCACAATTGGGATACCTCTGCCCCTCGCATGAGGAAGAGCCACCTGTGCAGAGGAGGGGATGGCCATGGAGACCTTACAGGACTTTTCAAGGACATCAAGACTCTTATCCAGTAGCCCAGGGATGGAGCAGACCAAGAAATGCTGGAGACTGGGGCACGAAAGAGGCACTTGTTGTCCTGGCTTGGGATGGGGGGATGGAGCGAGAGTTGTTCTGAGGAGGGCACAGGTCCCCACCCATGCCCCTTGGATTTCCTGGCCCTACACAGACCCAGGAAAGGGGAAGGGGGTGAGATGTGGCAGGGAGGGGCCGCAGCATCACCCTCAGCTCCCAAAGTGCCCAAGATGCCCAGTTAGCCACTGGGTCACGTAATCAGCAGCTAGCTTACAGGCTCTGGGGACCTTCTCCAGGGTTTGGAGAAGTGAGCATGTCCAGCCCTACTCCCAGGGCTGTGGTGAGGCATCGATGCCTGGCTTGAAAGCAGCACCCACCACGGGCCTGCAGCAGGAGATGCTGAAGACAGAACTCTAAGGGTTCGCCCAGCTCAGAAAGCACGTTTGCTTTGGGACCCTGTCCCCTGCTGAGGTCTAGCCCAGTTCTTACTGTAATGAAGCATCAAGTGCAACAGAAACCTGATGCTACTCTTCCGTCGCGGGGCTTGGGCAGACGGTACCAGTAGACATTTGTATCCTGCCTCTGCTGACATTGCTCCTACTACCCTATTCTATGGCCGCTGTGTCCTGGCTCCAGCCTCTCTCTGTCTCTGTCACTGTCTCTCTTTTTTCCCAGACCCTTACCCAGCGCCAGGCCCTCCCAGCTCATCCTTTGCTAGGGATTCCCTGGGATCTGCCCTTGTGGGAGGACCGAAGTTCTGGCTACTCACAGCGTTGACAGCCAGGTCCCCGCGGATGTCCACTGGCGTGATCTCATGGAGCAGAGCAGCCCCTGCCACAGCCCCCAGCAGCTGGGCGGCCACATAGAAGGCAGCTCGGAGGAAGGAGACGTGGCAGCCCACCAGGCAGGCCACGGTCACAGCAGGGTTGATGTGGGCCCCACTGATGTGGCCCAGAGCCTGCACCAGGGTGCCGATGCCTAGGCCGAAGGCCATGGCGATCTGCAGCACAGAGGGCAGGGCCTGTGGCCAGTTGAGGGCCGAGCCAAGGCCAAAGAAGACGAAGAGGAGCGTGGCCAGGAATTCTGCTAACACGGCCCTGGAGAAGGCTATGGACCGCAGCTCCCACATGCTGCGGAACCTTCTGGGGACGGCCCGGCGGTCTGAGGGCCAGGAGGCTTGTGGCGCTGTCTCTCGATCTCTCTTTCTCAAGGCCTCTGGGGAGGCTGGGCCACGGGCATTTATAGGGGCCCTCCATCCTGGGTCTGGGCACGTGGGCTGGAGGTGGAGTCATTCAGGCCAGTACCTCTTCTCCCCTGTGGCCACCCCTGCCCACCCGCATGCCTATCACCCCATCTTGGCCTTCACAGCTGACTAATGTTCCCCATTAAGGAGCTCCAGATAAGGACTGACGTCCCCTGCTTTTCCGTGTTTGTACCCTTGGTTACCCCCGGCTGCTGCCCCAGGGCCTCCCCCACCCCTACGGGCTTCTGTGAATGGGAACCTTGGTGGGGGACGTGTCCAATGCCCCCCTCTCTGACTGAACTGTTGGCCAAGGCACGGGCAGCACCTCACCCAAGACTGACTATGAGAGAACGTCAACACCACCTCTTCTAGTGATCAGAAGTTCCTCCCACTGTCCAACCTCCGATTATTCCTTCTCGAAGGGGATGGAAAACAACTGGTTGACTTGTGACCAATTTTCAAGACATGAAGGTTTTGTGTCTCTTCTGTGCTTGCTTTCTTGTAGTTAATCACCCATAAGTCACTAAGCTTCACCTTCTCCCTGCAAGCCCAGCCAAACGGCAGCTCCCGTAGCCTGGAGGCAGGGGGTGGTTTCAATGGCATTGGGACCCTGGCCCTGGGTGATGGAGTCAACTTGGGGTTGAAGGAGGAAGTTGAGGGCTTCCACTCCACCTCTTCCATCACCCTGTTCCATCTCTGACCTAACCTTTCTTGTCTTTCTCTGTAAAATCAGGATAATAAGACTGACCTCATGGGGTTGGGGTTTGGATAAATGAAACACTGAATGTAAAGTGCTCAGAGCAGCGCCTGGCCCACAGTAAGTAGTCAATTAATACCAGCCATTACTTGTACTATTATTTATACTCTGAGGAGAGCAGTTGTCCCCAAATTCACATGTCAGGGTCCCAGAAGATGTGACAGGCCCTAGGAACCCCGTGGAGCTCGGCACCTCCCCCCTCCAGCCACAGGAAGAAGACATTTCTGTGGGGCAGTGAGCTGTGTGGGCTCAGGGAGGCTGTGATGCCTGGTAAGCGGCTCTCTGGCCTTAGTGTCCACTCAGCCCAGGATCTGGGCAATGCCACCTCCTGCTATCAATGCTGCTGTGGCCACTGGGGTCCTAGAGATGTTCAGGTCTCCACTCACTGGCTCTTCCCTAATCCCTCCAGCTCTGCTCCCCCTCCTGGGGATCCACAGGCGGGGCTGAGCTCAGAGTGGGGTCAGGAGGAAGGACGGCTCTGGACCCTGCTCTACCTCTTGTCCTACAGCTCCCTGGGCAAGTCACAGTCCCACGAATGGAAACCTGGGGGAAATCGGAGACTTTTGAGTGAGACCTTTGTGTTGTATCACAGGGAAACTGATGCCCAAGGAGGGCGAATGACTTGTCCAGGGTGGTCCAGCAAGTCGGTGGCTGCGCGGGGACTGGAACCTGGTCTGGAGAGCTCTCCACTACATGGGGCACTGGTGAGCCTCACTGTAGCCGAGCCTCAGCTTCCTTGTCTGGACAACAGGAGTAATGATGCCTGCTCCCCAAAGTCGTTTTGAGAATGTGGTGAGATAATGAATCGGCACTTTGGGAGCCAAGGTGAGAGGATCGTTTGAGGTCAGGAGTTCAAGACCAGCCTGGGCAACATAGCGAGAACCCATCTCTAAAAAAAAAAAAAAAATTAGCTGGGTGGGGTGGCGCATGATGCTTGTAATCCCAGCCACTCGGGAGGCTGAGGCAGGGAGATGGCTTGAACCCAGGAGTTGAGGCTGCAGTGAGCTATGATCAGGCCACTGTACTCCAGCCTGGGCAATAGAGTGTCTCTTGAAAAAAAAAACGTAATGAATGGGAAAGTGTTTTGCAACTGAGAACGTATCATACACATATATATCAGGACTTGTGACTCCTATTGAGGAGGAGGAGGAAGAGGAAGAGGATGAGGAGGGGGAGGAAGAAAGAAAAAAAATGGCCCAAATAGCAGGTAGCTCTGAAAGAGCAGGGATGCTTATGGGTTTTGTTCTCTAATGTATTTCCAGAGCCTAGAACAGTGCCTGACACATAGGTACCTGGCACCCTGGCATCTATCCTCAGCCATCCCTCCCAACCTCAAGCATTCTGAATGCTCTAGGAAGAGATTCAGAGGAAGCAGGGGGGGCCCCCAACCCTGTGTTATGAAGGGTATCTGGGGCCCACCTCCAAACTGAGCACATAGGAAGAGACAAGGATCCTGAGGGAGTCTGGCTTGGCTGTGCCTCTGACCCCACCCAGGGGATGCCTTCTGCACTCCTTCCTTTTGTGGTTTCGTGTACCACTTCTGACCCTCGCCATACTGTCTACCTCAACTGGCCAAGTTCAGGCCTGAGCCTGGAAAACCTTCCCCTCAGGACTCATATGAGCTGGAGTTATGACAATGGTTCCCAAATCCACCTCCAACCACTGAGTTGCTGTGTGCCCTTGGATGGGCCACGCACCCTTTCTGGTCTCTCCTCTTTGGCCAAGGTGTTCATTATCTTGAGAGAGTGGCTCACTGGCCCTTGATTCTGGGAAGTACTGCTCCTAACCCAGTTGGGTAAAAATCTCCTACCTCCTGGCAAACCCAGAATAGGTGTCATGTCTTCTCTTTGTCCCAACCCAAAGCCCCAACCCAAATTTGTATGTGTTTGTGGTGCCTGTGTCTGGTCATTCAGTCACATAATCATAAATTTAGAACCCGATAGGATCATAGAGATCATCTAACCTGTGGATCTTATTTTACATGATTAGAACATCAAGTCCGAGCCAGATGTGGTGGTGCGCACCTGTTGTCCCAGCTACTCAGGAAGCTGAGTCGGGAGGATTGCTTGAGCCCAGGAGTTCAAGTCCAACCTGGGCAACATAGCAAGACCTGACCTCAAAAGAAAAACAAACAGATAAACAAACAAACAGACAAAACCAAAAACCCTTTCTTCTCCAGGTTGGGATACTTAAAAAAAAAAAAAGAAGAACATGAAGTCCAGAGAGATTGTGACTTGTAGGTCACACAGTTTACAGCAGTAGGCAGGACATTCTGATCTGGCCCCAAGTCTGGGAGGAGGGGAAGGGCCCAATGATGACTGAGCTCCTGCTCATGCCCGTATTTGCACTTGACTTTCCCTTCATGCCAGAGAGGAACAAGGTGTTCCTGGCAAAGCCAGCGGGGCCCTTGCTGTGGTTCTGGAAGGGCAGCTGTGCTCCCATGAGAGGACGGCGGCATTTTGTCTACAACAACCACTACGCTATGTCTCAGGAAACCTATGCATCTATGTCGCGCTACTAGTTAGAATATGACAAAAATGCTTTCTTGGAGATGGTTGCACAACAACGTGAATGCACTTAATGCCGCTGAACTGTGCACTTAAAAATGGTTAAGATGGTTAGTTTTATGTTATGTGTATTTTGCTATGGTTAAAAATAATATATATATATTTTTAAGTCAGAGAAAGAAAATAATCAAAACATGCTTTCTTACCACTAGGCAATTTTTATTATACTTATTAAGATAAGTCTTTTAGATTTATTTAGATATCAGTTTTTAAAGCCAAAATTACTCTTGTGCATGCATAAAAAAGGAAATTATAAGCAAAACAAATTGGCTAAAATAATCCTAAATTTCTTCACCTTCAGAGTCCAAGTTTCCTGAATTCCTCTTTGACTCAGAGTCCTTGATGTTTTTCTACACATCATCACCTTCTGTGCCATCAGGAGTGTGCATGATGCACCATTGTTTAAACAATTGTCCACTATTGTTTACAGAATTTCTTTCCAAGCCTCAGATACTCATTCTGTAAGCTTCACGGCAGGTGTTTTCTTGCTTCACACGTGACCAGTAATAGCAGCACAATGCAGTTTTATCTGTTTGGGGCTCTTCCTTTCTTAGGTCTTATAAAACACTTGACTGTTTTGTGAGAAAATATGGAATTATGGTCACTCTTCAATGATAACTACTTCAGTAATATCAAATTCTTGCTACGCTTCTCTGTTTCGTGGCCTTTCTGTTTACACAATAACTTTGTTTAAATGCTAAACCACAGTGTAACCTTTTCGAAGACGTTTTAAACAGCAATTAGGTGGGGCACGCCTGTAATCCCAGCACTTTGGGAGGCTGAGCCAGAGGATCACTTGAGCCCAGGAGTTGGAGGGTGCAGTGAGCTGTGATTGTGCCACCGCGCTCCAGCCTGGGCAGCAGAGTGAGACCCTGTCTCCAAAAACAAACAAATAAACAAACAAACCAACAATTGAATTGAACATATGCAGGAAAGAGAAGGCGCAGAATTCACCTGACCAAATTTAGGTATGCCCAGGCGATGACAACCACTCCCAGCTGTCGCACGCACAATTGTAAAAGACCTTACAGTGAGAAAACAAGATACTTAGAACTGATGAAATATGGCAGTTATAAGATTAAATCCACATTTAGCGCCCACTCTGTCATATGCTGTTCTAGACAATCTTGCATATATTTGCACTGTTAAATCCTCATAGCAATCCTATGAGCTAAATATTATCATCCCGTTTTTTAAAGAGGAGGAAAATGAGACAGAGAGGTTAAGTGACTTTCCTGAGGTCACACAGCTAGTAAGTGGGAAGGCAGAATTAGAACTCCAGTAGTCTGGCTTCAAGAGGACTTTTTTGATTGTAAAAGTGAATCCCTACCTCACTCCCTGAAATAACCAAGATGGGAGAGAAGTGAGAACCAGCGCTAAAGTCTTTGAATCATAAAGAAATGGATTAGGGTGCTGTTTACTGGTGGCTTGAAAGAGGGGGCTGGGACCATGCACAAGTGGGGGTGGGGTGGGGGCGGGCAGGCCTGCGTGGAGCAGGGCCAGTGAGGACGCCCCCTGCTGGAGCACAGTGACAGTTGCTGTGACGTGTGTCTCCTGCTGCGAGCTGAGCTACAAATGCCCTCCATTCTCCCCACAGGGTCAGTACAAGTGGGTCACGCACCAAGCCTGTGAGGCTGGTAC